TCACCAGAGGAAAAAAACCACTCCGAGTGGAAGATGGAGGATCTACTAAAGGAACTGATCAGCGAACTTGAACTAAGAGAGGAACATTGTAAGACTGAAAGGGGCCAGAACACACGCAATGAAAAGGAGAACGGGAGACCAGGAAAGACAGGAAATGAACTGAACACTGCTAACGCTCTGCTGGCAAAATTGAACGATTTCTGTGCGTATTGTAAGGGCGGACATGCCCACCAGGATTGCGTCAATGTGAAATCAGTAGAGGATAGGAGGCTATTGTTACGTAAGTACGGTAGATGTTTTATTTGTGCACGAAAGGGCCATATTTCTCACGATTGTAATTCCAAAATTACTTGTAGTATTTGTAAGGGGAAACATCACGTTTCAATTTGCTATAAGGGCGGTAGCGCAAACGGGGATCAATTCAGTCGCGCCCACAATGGTGATTGTAATGACTCGCTGAATTCCAATAATACCAGTCATGCCTGTCTCGCCCACACTATGGGAACCGGGGGGAGCGATGCGCAACAAACCGCGCAAGCGGTTACCAGCCCTACTTTTCACGTGGGAACCGTGGGGAGGGTTGCCCTACAAACCGCGCAAGCGGTTATTAAGGGTAATAATAGGAATGTGAGAGTGAGAGTGTTGTTTGACGCTGGCAGCCATCGATCGTTTATTACTACTAAAGCGGTACAATCAGCGGGGTTACTAGCACAAAGAAAGGAATGGATCGAGATTTGCACATTTGGACAGCAAACGAAGGACAGCGACTTAAAGGGAGTTTTCGAACTTCAAGTGTTTCCCTTCCAGGGGGGAATGGAATCAAAATCGAGGCGTATGAGGTCCCCACCATTGCGCAAATTAGCAACGAGCACATCGAGATCAGGAAAACTGAATACCCTCATTTGCAAGGGCTTTGGTTTTCAGATGTCAATCGCGACAAGGAAATTCTTGGGGTCGATTTATTGATTGGAGCGGATTACCTGTGGTGTTTCCAAAAGGGGAGAACCATAAGGGGGGAGGTTGGCCAACCCGTGGCCGTGGAAACCTGCTTGGGATGGGTGTTGTCGGGTCCTCTAAATGGAGTTCGCGATGACACGCAAATTAGCGTTAATCTTGTCGGTCACGTTTCGCCTGGAGTCGATCAAGAATTACAGGATAGCGCTCGGAAATTGTGGGATTTGGAAACCCTAGGCATAAGGGAAGAAAACGAGGTTCACGAAGCGCTAAAGATGCCATTAAGTTCAACGGGAAAAGGTACGAAGTCGGTCTTCCATGGAAAGAGGGCCATGGACCTCTACCAAGCAACTACCGTAACAGTTTTAAGCGTCTAAAGGGGCAGATCGAAAGGTTGAAAATTGTACCGGAGAATTTGAAAGCGTATGACGAAATTATCAAAGAGCAAGCGGAAGTTGGTATTATTGAAAGGGTGCCGGAATTGGAAACGCCCGATAAGGTCCATTATCTGCCACACCACGCAGTTATTCGGAAAGAAGCCAAAACCACAAAGGTGCGCGTGGTTTATGACGCATCTTCAAAGGAAGGGAAAGGGGGTGTGTCGTTGAATGATTGCCTACACGTGGGACCCACTTTGTCGCCATTGTTGTATGACATTTTGATCCGATTCAGGGAAAAGCGCGTGGCGTTAGTGGGCGACATTGAAAAAGCGTTTCTCAATGTTGAGGTCAAATTGCGTGACCGGGATTGCTTAAGATTTCTTTGGGTAAACAATGTCGATAGTGAACATGTAGACCCGGTGGTTTACAGGTTCTGTCGGGTTGTTTTCGGAGTGAATTCGTCACCCTTCTTGCTGAATGCTACCCTTCAGTACCATTTGGACACATTTACCGAAATCGACCCAGAGTTCGTGCGTGTAATGAAGAGGAGCTTTTACGTTGATGATCTCGTTGCCGGTGACAGGACCACCCAAGATGCTAGCGAATTGCATGACAAGGCGAAGAAAAGGCTCGCGCTTGGCGGTTTCAAATTGAGGAAGTGGTTGACAAATAGCGAAGAATTGAGAGAGAAAATACGACAGTGCGAATTGCGTGACGAGTCCAACAATGAGATTAAGAGCGCCGACGACAGTTATGCGAAGGAAATGCTGGGGAGAAAAGAGGGAACGACAAACGAAAAGGTTCTCGGGTTGTCGTGGAATTGTAACGAGGATTTGTTTATTTTTGAATTATTTGCGCTGGCAAAAAAGGCTGACGGGTTAGCTATCACGAAAAGAAACATACTGAAAATTGCAGCAGGTATGTATGACCCCCTAGGCATTATTAGTCCCGTACTTGTCAGCGTGAAGGTCTTGTTCCAAGAGTTGTGTTCAAACAAGGTTGAGTGGGATGAAGAGTTGAAGGACGAGGAGAAGAAACGCTGGGTCAGCTGGATCGACGACCTCAAAGGCGTAAGAGAAATATCCGTGCCTAGATGTGTTTACAGAGTTCCCCAGGACCAGATGAATTGTTCCTTGCATGGATTTGCTGACGCTAGCAGAAAGGCTTATTGTGCCATGGTTTACTTCGTGTGTGAGGCACATGGGGCTTTCACCGTAACGTTGCTGACTTCCAAGACCAGAGTTGCTCCACTAAAGACGCAAACGATACCGAGACTAGAATTGATGTCAGGGAGAGTGTTGGCGAAGCTCATGGAGACTGTACAGAATGCTCTGAAAGAAGAAGTAGAAATCAAAGGTTCGCGCATGTGGCTAGATAGCAAGACAGCGCTCTGGTGGATCAACAACAGGGGTGAGTGGAAGCAGTTTGTTCGCCAGCGAGTAAATGAGATCCTGAGGATCACGCGAAAGGAAGACTGGGCACACTGTCCAGGAGAGCAGAATCCAGCTGACGTTGGTTCAAGGGGTGAACTGGCGTCCAAGTTAAAGGAAAATGAATTGTGGTGGAGAGGTCCAGCCTGGTTGTCCGGACCAAAGGAAGGGTGGCCAGTGTCACAGATCTGCGAAACTCCACAGAGCATTGATGAGGAAAAGAAGGTGACCGTGACAGTGGCTAGCGTGACAAACAAGTTCGGATTTTCGAATATAGTTGAAATCAATGCGTTTAGCCGACTCGGGAGGTTGTTAAGGGTAACCTCATGGGTAAAGCGTTTTATTTTTGTGATTGACCATGGTGGAATCTTGAGGTGCAATGGCAGATTAGATAATTCAGATTTGGAAGCAGAGTCAAAACAACCCATCATTATTCCAAGGAACCACAAGCTGACAGAACTAGTGATTGAAGAATGTCATCGAAAGACGCAGCACAGTGGAATACGGGCAACACTTGGAGAGCTGAGGTCGCGGTTTTGGGTACCGAAAGGAAGGCAGGTTGTGAAGAAGGTTTTGAAGGAGTGCGTGACATGTAAGAAGGCGCAGGGAAAACCCTTTAAATCTCCACCTGTTGCAGCACTGCCAGACTTCAGAGTTAAAGAGGCCATACCGTTCTCCAAGGTAGGTATTGATTTTGCTGGTCCATTGTTCGTCAAGTCCCAGACAGGAGAAATGGTTAAGTCCTATTTAGCGTTATTCACTTGCTGTGTAACACGAGCGGTACATTTGGACCTGGTTGCTGACCTTACAGCAACTACCTTTGTGCGTTGTTTACGAAAGTTTGTCGCGAGGAGAGGCGCTCCATCTTTAATCATTTCGGATAATGCCAAGACCTTCAAGGCATCCGCGAAGGTGATAAAGCGATTGTATGACAACGAAGAGGTGAGGGCGCACTTAGAAAGCAATCGAATAGATTGGAAATTCATTTTGGAGCGGGCTCCTTGGTGGGGCGGATTCTATGAACGAATGATTGGAACTGCGAAAAGTTGCCTCAGAAAGGTTCTCGGAAATGCGAAGCTCAATGCTGATGAATTGCTGACCGTCTTGACAGAAGTGGAAGCTACCTTAAATTCACGTCCGCTGACGTATGAATATGACGAAGTTGGAGCTGAAATGCTCACACCATCTCATCTGATCTATGGACGTCGGTTGCTAAGTTTGCCAGAGGAGGTTAGAAATGACGAGGAGGAGAGTGAGACAGGTTTTCTCAGAAGGTTCAGGTACCTCGCAAGGTTGAGGATTCATTTTTGGAATCGGTGGAGAAAGGAATATCTTACCGATTTGAGAGAGCATCACCGTGGTAAGAAGGAAGGTCCGAGGAGCGAGGTAAGTGAAGGTGAAGTGGTCTTAGTGCACGAAGACAATGTGAAGAGGAGTATGTGGAAGATGGGGAAAGTTTTAGAGTTGATTGCGGGCAAAGATGGCGAGGTAAGAGGTGTTAAATTGAAACTAATCACAAAGGGAAAACCTATCTTCATCAACAGAGCCGTGCAGAAACTGTATCCTTTAGAAGTGTGTAGTGTGACGAGAGAAATTGGTGAGAGTAACATAAACCCGGTGGGAAATGCGGAAAAACAAACCCCTTCGGGGAGGGAAATCCCACGGCGTGCGGCTGCGCTGGATTCACGTTGGAAAACACGAGTCATGCTCGATCACTGATCGGCAATATTTTTTCATTTTTGTGTGACTGAATGTGATTACCAAATTGTGCTTGACCCTGACAGGTCAAGGGGGGGAGTGTGTGTCCGATAATAATAGTTTATTTTAATCTTTATATCACGCAATGTTATTTTTCGCTGTAACGTCACATATTACGCGTGACATGTACTTGTAAAACATATGGGCTAAAAGTAGATCACGTACTTTGGAGTTGTAAAACAAAGAATGCTTGTAACTAGTTAAGGCGAAGTTTAGCGGTTACAACCGCAACATTCTTGTATTTCCTTGTGTATATAAGACATTGTTGTAAGAGGTTAAGCCTCAGAAGCGAACGGAATAGAACGGTTAGAATATAGAACGGAACGGAATTGTAAAGAACTGTGAATCTACGAATAAACGCATTTTATATTGGAAAGATACAGTCCTCAAGTTGATTGTGAACCAGCACGGGAGATAATCCCGAACAGTGTCCACGGTGAAAAACTTCTATTAAAGTACAAATGAATTTTAAGCAGTTGCCTCCGTGGCCTAATGGATAAGGCGGGCCTCCTAAGCCGTTTGCGGGTTCGAATCCCGTCGGAGGTGATGCCTGATTTTTTGGCAACTTTTTTGGCATTTTATTGCCATTCAACATCGTCAGTACTGATATAGAGAGCTTGTTAATCATTTACTATTCGGACCTGAAACATTTGCCGATTTGAGAACACAAGAGAGAGAATCAAACTGTATTGCAAAACATGCAGAATTTAACTGCCACTTGTGTCATGTCAGCTGAAGTCTCTGTAATTTGTAATAATAATAGTAATAATAATGTTTTTATAGGCGCATTTCAAAAACTCAATGCGCTCACAAGTATATAAAGAAATAAAGAAATGCGTATAAAATCATTTTAAAATTCATTGTTCAAACGCTTTCCTAAATAAAAAGAACGAAACGATAAACACGATTCAGGTTAATCGTCATCGTGGACGATTTATGTGATAGGCATGCGTGGATGAATGTGGGACCACAGAAACTGTTCGTATTAACGGGATGTACGTATAAACCAGCTCACCACCTGTCATTATAAGTCTACATTGGGGGCGTGGTTTTGCGTTTTCAGTTTCCATACATTTGTCTGTAAATTTTCCGGCGTGGTCGTGCGAAAAACTGAAAACGCGAGCTACTTCCTAGGCTCAGTTTCCAGCCGTGGGTGTTTCGGTGCGCCCGCGATCGCGGGCGCACCGAAACACCCACGGCTGGAAACTGAGCCTAGTTACTTCCCTGATCAGTAAAATCTTTGCCAGTTATCTGTGCATATTTCAGAAATCAATCTTTACTCAAGTTATTTTACATCGGATTCTCACATACAAAAGGCTGTCTGTACGCCATGCCACATGCCCATCACAATCATTCAAAATCGGGCGGGAAAACCGCTGATTATAATTACTCATTCGTTTGCGTGAATGACGTCATTTTTTGCTTCGTATAAAGTAAAATATAGTACAGTAAAACATCAACAAAGAAAGCTGAACCGTTCTTGAACATTTTAAAATATGCAATAAAGACCAGGAAAACGCTCCGCAATTTCTGCTAATCGTTTGAACTCATCAGTCATCGTTCCCATCGTCCCCTGCATCTTAAAAATTCACATGAGAGCTAGAGACGACGGGCAAGTCAATCTACGTTGTGCTTAAACTAATAAACAGTAATTGCACGACGTAGTTTTGACAGGCAGGTTTTGTGCGACTTGTAATAAGATTATTTTATTACACGAACAAAAAAAATGAGCGTTGGAGATGTTTTATCCATAAACGTCGTATCCGTTGATATCGCGAATGTCTACTCCCAGGGGCTCTCCCAGGGAAAAATGGAGATGACGAGAAAATATATACCTGTTTACCAGTGTGGAGGTCTTTTCCGGAAAATCAATGAATATTTGAAATTTTAGTAAGGGTTTGTTTGGGTTAGTTTATCCACGCGTGAATATAAAGAAACAATCGTCTCCTTCACCTGTATGTAAAACCGCGACGGCTCTCGAAACGATGTTGATTTAATTTTGGAAAAAAAAGTGACAATTTACCTGTCAAAATTTGTAAACATGCTGAATGAAATGCCCTGTCTTTCGGTTTCGAGAAAGAAAATCCGAAAGGACCGTGTCTTGACCACGCGGCTTGGCTTCCGGTACTGATCCGAACGAGCGAACGACGTCCAAAGTCAACTTTGTTGTTTTTAGTTTTACTCCGCTGGGGAGGACTACACACGTAAAATTTTTAAATTTATTATTCGTGAAACCACCTGTTAGGATGGGAAATTATAACGTTGGTAGACTGAAAACACCATATGATAATTAAAAATATACGTGCTCTCTGTGAATGAAGATGAGATAATAGGTAATATTTCCTGGGGCAATTTGAGGTCGCGTGAATGAAGGATAAAACAATACTTATTGTTTTCATATCAAGTTTCGGCCTTATTAGCTGACAACCAGCTGACGCATGACACAGTCGTGGCGTCACCAAAGACTGCTTCGGTAAGATCGACAACTTTGAAATAATTTTTAGCTTTTCCTTTTACATTGCTTGATTGAAGAAACAACTTGTCTCCTCTTTGTCATTTGACTGAAGAATTAGTGTGAAACTTTGTGTTGCGCATTTAGCGCCGAAAACGTGGCATAGGTTGTTTTTCTTCAACCATGCGACGCTTTGAAAGTGAAAGTTTTGAAATATATATGCTATACACAGCACGAAACTTTCAAACCGGAACACCTTAGGTCTGCGGTGATGTGTTATTCGTGTATTATTATTTTGATGATTCGCAATCGAAATTGATTCATATATGTCTTTTTTTTCCTCAAAGGTGTTGTTAACCATATCATTTGCTGTTATGGACATTTATCAGTGTGCTGTGCGGCGATTAAATTAAATCGAAAACAGCCAAGTTGCCGGTCAGACAAAGAAGTTCGATATTGTCAAGCAACCATTTGCGACTCGAATCTCCGTCAGTTCATCTGAATACTGGGAAAACGTGAACAAGCGGAGTTTATACTGTTTATATAATCAAACAGGGAATAACTGTGCGATGAATGTTCATCTGAATGACAGGTAAACTGATAGCCCTTTATAATAACAAACTAGTCAGCCTCCAGCAAAATTCAGTGTCTCAATAGGCAGCGCTCTTTGACCATTTAGCTTGTAGTTAGTATCTAAGATCTGTACGCGCCCTCGCCGCATTATAACTATAGTGATATCGGTTTTGTCTATCTAGATATCTGCCTCTCAAAACAATACTGTATTTCCCGTACATTTAGTTAAAATACCCCTCATTGCAGATGTACTCTAAATATTGTTCTTTTCGCCGTTCTACTGCTCCGAATTACGGTTTGTGTAAAATTTAACAGGAGTATAAAATGATTCATAATTCTAATATCACTTTACCGATGATGTCATTGTTTACTCGTGTAAATGTTAATTGCTGAATCGTATAACTTATATCATTCTGGGTAGACTTTAGCTTAACATATCAAAGATTTATTTTATGGCACCTTGGTGTATGATCATGAGTCTCTAGGTGATGTTTTATGTTAGTTATATCTCGATTTATACACGTTTTGTGTTTAAAGATGGTTCTATATGTTTATGTTATTTTGCCAGACAGGTGCATATTCAGGGAAACAATCGTTCATATTTGTATGCCATATACCAGCTCCTTGAAGCATCCCACTAATTTAAATGTATCGTCAATATTCTTAATTCCATTTTAATTTCTTAAGCTTTTACCGAAGGGTATATCGCTAGAAATATCTCGACGAAATAAACATTTTCACGCGGCAACGTTTTCTGACTCCATCATGGTTGGTGGGAAATTAACTGTGACAATAACATTTCAATAAATGTGCATAACTACACTTGAATTTGTCAGATTTTACTTACTTTGAAGGAATTTGTTCCCTGATTATTATTTCTAAATATAGAGCGAAGCGTAGAAAACACTGAACAACGCAAGAAAAACGCAACAAACATTTCAAGACTACATACACACTCTAATCAAAATATGCTAATTACTTAGACGCGAAAAGATTTTCAATAATGCTATACACATCAAATGAATAATGATCATCGCAGTTACACACGTCTATCATATTTTAACTAGTCAACAGAATGGTATACAGTCGAACCCCTTTAAGCCGCCACTCTCGGGGAAATGGCAAGTGGCCGCTTAATAGGGGTTCGACTGTAGTTCATATTTAATAGAGGCCGATAATCTGACAAATTCGAGCTAAGTTGGAATCTTAATCAATTTTCGCCGTGAACCAAGAAGTCGGGAAGTTTTATTGATTGCTGCTTTCACTGCTTTCGAAACTTGACTATGGGCGTAAGCTCAGTAGGGCGTCAAGTTGCTGAAATAGCAGTTTTTTTTAACAGACGCAGCCATCATAGGCTTCATTCCGGACTCCGTAATTCCGCTCAGTAGGCATACAAAAAAATCGACGAAAATCGGTCATCCGAAGAGCATGCTAAAACCGATCAGATAATGACCTCTCAGTGCACTTTTATATCTTATGCTACTGATTATTGATCTATTAACTAAACTACGAAAGAGAATATGAGAGTATACATGAGGGTATATATCAGTTGTAAACTAGAGCAATCCCAGTTTTGTTATTCAGTGTTCTTTATAAGTAGTCAGTTGAAATCACCGAAGACGAGGAAGTTGAATATTGGCGTATTACGTCTTGAACTGCACACAAGGATGTAGCCGCGAGGTTTTAGTCGCGGATTTCGTTCTCGCCGTGTATAGTACTAGCCTCTAGCCTCTTTACCATCTTTATTTATACCACACATTTTTCCTACATGTATAATTAAAATTTCACTGAACTAACTTGTTCATCCCGTTTTGTGGGGGGAATATTGGTCTCGTTCTGTTTTTGTAAATTTAAAACGTGCAAAAAAGAACACGACCAATACTTCCCCAATACAGACCGAACAAGCTAGTTCAATAACAGTATCTTGTTCACTTCTGCAGGACTATAAACGAAAGAAACAGTGGACCAAGGATTAGCAGCGGTCTTCCAGACGATGGAAGCTGTTATTTTCCTTTCTGGGCTCGAAAGTGTGGCTGTGCGGAATGTATTATCGCCAGCGACAAGATGGGTTCAAACTCCCTCCATAATAGCCACAATGGATATCAAAACTCACGCCAAAGCGAATGCTTCAGTCAGACGAGAAATGGATACAATCATGCGGATCAAACAAAGGAACGCCTTGTAAAACATCAAGTCTATAATACCCAGCGTACTCTGGGAAACGACAATGGCATAGCAGTTTGGTCAGAAAAAGATCGATTTACAGCCTCGTCAGACAAAATGCAAACATTTGACCTCAATTCCTATTTTAGGCAAGACAAAGCCGATCCCAGAACGTCCAAACTTTATCAACCAAACGCACTCAGTCAGTCTGCAACAATGCCGGTTGTTGATAAAACAAATTCCTTTACCCAGTTGCTGAATACAGACTCCGCAATGAAAGATAAGGAAGCTGTTCCAAATTATTGGCCATGGTGTGGCACCTCCTTAAGCGGCTACCAAAACCAACAGCATTTATCAA